CCTCTCTTGCTCTCTCTGATCAAATGAAAAAAATAACTATAATAGATAAAATTAAGTAAGTAATTATTAAAAGCAAAGAGCGGAACCAGATGACACAAAAAAAGCTAAGAAAACAAATCATTTCCAGAGACATTGTCATTAGAAATATGCCCATATGACTAGTAATAACTGTGTTTCTCTGAAGCAAAAGGGGAGTTGTATGAGCACATTGTTTCTCAGTTTCATCACTGTATAATGAACGTGAAGTGGCAGAAGGGTTTCTCTAGGTCTAATGTACAGAAATATGGCATTGTTAAAGATCATAGATTTTCAGACTCTAAACTCTGTAGAAATACCCTCTATGTTTGGGAGAAATTGTGAAGGGACCATTAGTGAACAAAAATGAGGACTATGATGGAGGCTGGCTTAATTCCAATAATATTTCTGTTTCTTTGATACATAGTAAAACAAACAAATACACAAAAACTCTGGTGTTCTCATATTTGCTTTGGAAGAAGTGATTCATTTCTACAATGTCATGTATAGAAATGCTGTCTACTATGTGCTAATACTCTTTGGAGTGGATTTTCTTCCTTATTCTCTGTCTTCAATGCTCAGTTCTTTGAATATCAATCTAATAGAAGACTAGAAAGATGTCCACTTGAACAGTGAGACTCAGATGTAAGAACTACTGTTTCTGAAATACTAGATGCAAAACTGTACTGTGAAATGAGTGTAATATACTTCTTTATTTTGCTAAGTGATTGATATGTCTGATGTATTATTTCAGTTTTTTAGGTGTTTTCAGTGATTGTCATACTTAAGTGAATAATGTAAAAGCCCACTCTTTTTTTTTTTTTGAGAGTTTTTTACTATAGGTGCATATCTTCAATTTAGAAGCAGATATAAACAGAGAGAAAGCAAGAAATTGAGAAATCATCTCCCAGGGGGATGTTCACGTGGCAATCTCTTCTCCCCTCAGGATTTTGGACAATCATGTACATGCATCTGGCTTGAGTTTCAAGCTACTGGGTCCAGAAATTGAACTGCAGGTGGCCATAGGAGTCCAACACCTTAACCACCACCTGCTGGCTCCAGTCATTTCTCCCTTTTTAATGATAGGACAGGAGTGAAATCAGCTTATCCCAGTGGAAAAATAGACATTGAATTTGTCATAGCCTGTATGTAGTTTGATAACTTTGTGTCAAAGGTTGAGTGGAGTTCTCATCAGAAGAAATAAGTGAAAGAAGCCCCATGTGAAAATACCAAATCAGTAACAAAAAGAGGACAGAGGACCAATGTAAGAGAAGCATGGTGTACCAAATAGAAACAGATTTAACATAAATAAAATGGGGACCAGCAGATGGTGTTGCGGTTACCGGACTCCCCATGGCCAACAGCGGTTCAAGTCCCACACATGGTAACTTGAAACTCACACCAAGAAGGTGTACATGCATGCACAAAATCTCAAGAGGAGAATGGAAGAGAAGGAATTGTGGCATGAATAACCTGCTGGAGTTTATTTCTCCCTTTCCCTTCCACTGTCTCTGTCTATCTGGCAAGCACTCAAGCACATATTCCATGAAACAAACAAACAAAAAATTTAAATTAATTAATTAATAAAATGCAGTTAGAAACACACTATCAAATAATCATGAAACCCTAAAAAAGGAAGAAACAAATGTAAACACAAAACTAAATAGATTTCATGCATGCCAATCTTATCTCCATATATGCCTACAAATGGCTGAAATAGAACAAGTATTGGGGCCTGCAAATGGCACAGTGGTTATGTCACTGGACTCCCCCATGGTCATTCACATAGTGACTTGAAAATCACACCGGGCTAGTCTGCACGTGTGCCCAAGATACAAAGAGGAGAAATAAATAAATAAATAAGAAGGGATTGCAGTTTGGCCGTTCCCCCTGGGGTGATTTCTCACTTTCCCTCTCACTAACTCTCTCTCTCTGGCAAGTATGTGTTCCCTAAGGCAAAAACCAAATAAACAAACAAAAAATTCTAAAAAAGTGAAATAGGACAAGTATGTTAAAAGATTTTTTGTTTGTTTTCGTGTACAGGCACTTTCACTTAATTCCTGAGTTTCATTCCTACAACTAAGACATTAAGTGAAGTTGTCAACACATGAGGAGCTAAAAACCACTGTAAAATATATATTTTTCAATAGATGTCATGTAATGCCACCCTTGAAAAATACAATAATTGTATGGAAAGCATACAGTAGATAGCTCCAGCAAGTGACAAGACATCACAAAACAATACAGCAAATGCACTGTAATAATTTTTTACTTATTCTGAATACATTATTATGGGTGTACAATAAAGTAATTTATAAATTTATAAATGAAAAATTTAGTTCTGTGTGATTATGAACCCTTCCTGTAGTGAGTTCTAACTGACTATGGGACCAGGACAAGGAAGGCTGTTTGTCAAAGAGGTAAATTATCTTTATTTATTTATTATTTTTAGAGAGATTTTGTTATAGAGCACATGCACTCACCAGAGAGACAGAGACAGAAAGCAAGAAATTGCCCTCTACAGGGATGGCCACGCTGCAATCCCTTCTCCTCCATTGTCCTCTTAGGATTTTGGGCACACACACATATGTGCCTGACATGAGTTTTATAACACTGGATCTGAGAACTTGAACAGTGGTCGACTATATAGGAGTCCAGTGATGTAACCATTATGCCATCTGCTGGTCCCAAACTGGTAGGTTATTAAGAGACAGGTGGCTACATTAAATAATACTGCTTAGAACGCTTATTTTTGAGGTGGCTTGTATTTTATTTTCAATCAGCTATATTTTTTTCCGGATGCATGATTAGGCAACATTATATGAACAAAAACTTTAGATGTTTGTGAGCAAAAATGACTTAATTTTCATAAAAGTTAACCTAGAAATAGAATGTTCTCCTTCTGAATAAGGATCTCACTACCAAGTATGCAGAAGAGATCAAGAATAGCATTTTTGTCATGTGACACATTTTTTGAAGGTTTTGATTATCTGGATCTGGTTAAATTATGGAAACAAATAAAAATGCCAAATCTGTATTAATTCTCAAGAGCCCAATATAAATAACCAGAAAGACTTTTGCTTTTTCTGAAAGTAATTCTATACAATCAAGCATCTTTTCTAAGTGACAAGAGACTCCCCACAGTGGGAGCTCTGTGCTGATGAGGGACTGCAGAGGTGGGTGAGTCTATCCAAACAAAAGAAGCTTTGAAACTTGACTGAAATGATTGTCCAGGAAAAGCAGTCTTATAAAAATTAAATTGACACAGGAGAGAAGATCTCCCCAAGGATGAAAGTAACTGTTCCTATATTAAGACCAACTGGTACTTGAAGCAAACAAAAAATATTGCAGAATTAGTGACATTTTGACAAAAAGTAGTGACAAAAACTTTATAGTATAAAACTCACCCTGATATAGACAACTCATGAAAAACTATACAGGTAAGTTACAATTGTGTTTTATACTATGTTGAAGAAATATCTAAATGTGAAAAATCAAGATTCAAATAATAAGAGCATAAAATTCTGAAAACTTTATCTGAAAATAAGTTCATTATATAAATCATTTACCACTTAACTTTGTGTAAAACTACATAAAATTAGATCTGTGTCAAATAATAATGGCATTAGTAAAAAATACAATTCATTTAAAGTATCTGATAACTATTCCTAATGGAAATGTGTAGATATTAGAGAATATTTGTCTGATCATCTTTATCAATGCATCAGCTGAAGGGGTTAGAAGGTGTGCAGGTAGATTTTAAGAGATAGGGAAATATTGGGTCATCGGAAAAGGCATGAAGCATTTTTTGCATAGGATAGAAAAATATATCATCATTTCTGACCCCCCATTACATAAATTTTTGTTCTGAAATCTTGGGAAATAAACACTGATTGAGCAAGCATAAAGCATATTGTCAAGCAATGATGACTTGCCGACTTTATACCAATGATATTCATATGAAACATAACAAGAAAGGGTTTTTATTTTTGCTTTGTTTTGTTTGGGTTTTTAGTACCATTCATATGTCTTGGCCACTTATATGGCCAGAGTAAATAAGAATTAAGTTTAATCAAAGTTATATTACTATAAGGCAATATTACAAATGAAAAATAAAGGGAGTTGCATTTGATTATAAGGGCATTATATGACAATAAGGAGTCTCACATAGATAAGGGGAGTTCTATAATAAGTATTAAAATGTGTAGGCTATATTTTTTATTAAGCTAAAAGTTACTTAAGAGTTGTCACAGACCATACAGGGAGTGTTTATAGGGAAAGTTGATGAACACTGTGCTGGGATTAATGTTCTCATATTTAGTAAAAGTAATAGGTAACACACATCAATTAGAGTGAGAATAATGCATATAATTATTCCTCATTTATAAAAAGTGATGTTTATGGCCGAATAGTATTCCAAATCTCTTCACAATCTAAATAATATATAGCGATTTAATGTGTGAATAATAATAAAAAATTTTAAAAAATTAAATAACCAACTTTTTTGGTTCTTAAAAAAAGAAAGAAAAATATGTTTGTATTTGAGTATAAAAGAGATGACTTAAAACTCATTTTGAATAATAATGAAATAAAAACAGCAATGAAAAAGTTTTACTTTCATTTAAAAGAATAGGAAATATGACTACCAATACGAAGAAAATAAATTCAGACAAAACAATACAAAGAGCTCGTACCATAAGTCCACTCATAATTAGGAAATAGTTAAGATACGATTTCTCCACAATATTCTCTAAACAACACACATTTCCCAGTGCCTCTGGTATCATTATCTCCAAATCTATAGAATACATTAGAATTGCGATTCTTGAATTATTTTATTTCCAAGTTCCTTTCTAAAGTTTCTAATCTCATTTCCTAGTAATGGTAGAAAAAATTTGTGAAAATATATATGTATTTCATGCATCTCTTCCAGTTAACATAAGGAGAATGTGTGGTTCAATATGTGAATGAACTAATCATTAAAATTTACCATGTCCACAGATAAAGAACAAGTTAAAGCAGAATATTCAAATATCACTACTATGATGGACTTTGTTCTTTTGGGGTTTTCTGATACTCCTAGTCTCCAGCGGACTCTTTTTGGTATATTTTTACTCATATATTTGACTATCTTGATGTGCAATAGTTTCATAATAATAATTACAAAAATAGACTCTGATCTCCACACACCCATGTATTTTTTCCTGGGCAATTTTTCCTTTTTGGAAATCTGTTATGTATCAGTAACTATCCCAAGAATGCTCATGGATCTTTGGACTCAGAAAGGTCATATTTCTTTTCTTGCCTGTGCTGTACAGATGGTTTTTGTCCTGATGCTTGGAGGCACAGAGTGTGTCCTCCTGGCAGTGATGGCCTACGACCGCTATGTGGCCATTTGTAACCCTCTCCATTATGCTCTAGTGATGAACCACAAGGTCTGCATCCAGCTGGTGGCTGCCTCGTGGATCAGTACAGTTCCAGTTGTAATGGGGCAAACATGGAAGACTTTCTCTTTGCCGTTTTGTGCATCTCACTCAATCAATCACTTCTTCTGTGATGTGCCACCAATACTCAAGCTTGCTTGTGGTGACACAGTTGTGAATGAGACAGCAGTCATGGTAGTTGCAGATAGTTCGATGTTTGTCATGGTTCCATTTGTGTTGATTGTTTTCTCCTATGGCAAAATCATCTCCAACATTCTGAAATTGTCATCAGCTGGAGGGAGGTCTAAAGCCTTCTCTACCTGCTCTTCTCACCTGACAGTTGTAGTATTATTCTATGGAACAGGTATTATCACTTATTTACAACCCAAATCGAACCAGTCTGAGGAAATGAGGAAACTAATCTCTCTTTTCTACACCATTTTTATCCCAGCTTTGAATCCCATCATATATACTCTGAGGAACAAAGATATCATGAAGGCACTGAGAAAACTACTAGCTAAATTGTTACCATGAGGTAAAGCCTTGATTTATGGAAATAGTCTGTTTCCAGGTTTGTCATTTTGTTAGAATAGAAACAGACTGTTAGCTTTGTTTTCACTTTCCTGATGAATGATAAGGAAATTATAACGACGCTCCCACATTGTGTAAGGAGACCTTTCACAGAGCTTATTTAAGAGCCACTGTGTAACCAGAGGACAGACAAATGCCAGAGCAAGGTTCATATTTTGTAGATCCGTCTTTTCTTCATGGTTAACTATTGGGTTGAGAGTGCCTGAGTGACAGAATACAAGGTAGCTGTATTTGTTGAAGAAGGAGAAATTAGGGTCCTGCTCTGTGATAAATTTTCTTTAACCCTCCCATTCTTTCAGAAGAATTTTCTGCCATTCTCTGACCTTATGGTTGGATTTAACTACTGAGATACTCTACAAACTGCAAAGATGAAGGAAGCAGTGGAATTAGAGTTTCTTTACTTCTTTCCCTGCATCTATCTCTTGTTTCTGTCCAGGACCTTTGAAGAGTACAAATCCTAAGGGGTTGCCATCCACTATTTCGCAGTTTTAAAGTTCTCCAGTAGCATGACTCTAAATGTAGCTTGGTAATATCAATTTAGTACTGGAAACTTCTAAAATTGTACCACCAGCTACTTATTCTCATGTGCAGTGGGTTGAATCTTGGCTTCTCAAAATATATCTTTGATATCTTCATATGTATCATGCTTTGGACAAAAAAGCTTTTTGCAGATGTAATTAACATGAGGATTTTGAAATGAGATCCCTGTGATTTAGGGCAGCACTAAATCCAATGATATGTATCTTTATAAAAGACCAAGAGTTGAAGAAGTTTAGAAAACTGACCAAGAGAAACAGAAAACAATGTTATATAAAGGTGAAGAAAGAGATTGCAGTGATTTTGCCACATACCAAGGAAGTCTACGAGCTATCGACACCTGGAACCTTCTGATAGAGTGAGACACTGCCAACACCGTGACTGTGGACATTTGCTGGGAGAACTGTGAGTTACTAATTTTCAGTTGTTTTAAGTCATCCAATTTGTGGTCATTTAAGATAGATCTATGAAAACAAAATAACATGTAAACTTTGCTCAGGTTAGTTTTTATTTTTTCTTTTTTCATCTTTAGATGAGTTCTGTACTCTGCCAGACCCCAGGTGTTATATCATGCCCCCTCCCCCTCAATTTTTCTGTGTATTTTGGATCATAATTTTGTATTATTTTCTTCTGAAAGAAAAATTGAAATACTTAGGCTTTTTACTTTACAAACTGAATCAATGAAATCTCATCTTGGAGAAAATATAGTTGCACAGTATTACAGACATGTGTTTGTTTAAGTTGTGATATGTTATAGCATTTTTGGTTTCTCTTTATATTGTTTTAGCAATACAAAAGTTACTATCAAAGAGAAGGCATTCCCAGAATATAATAAGATATTGGAAGATATATCCATACTGTAAAATATCTCACAGTCACTTAAGACATGTTTAAAAATAGTTCTATTGAAGAAATTTCTACATTCTTAACATATGGG